TTCATCATGAGAGGCATCCAAAAGTTTATTAATCAGTTTGAAAAAGATGTATAACACAAGAATTAAAAAGCGGTTTTGCTAGCGAAGAATGCACATCCAAAAGATATATTTATATTGGCACTTATGTTCCTTGTTACCCAATGTATTTTATTGATGATAAAAATGTGTTTGTGACAACAACTAAATAAATTGTTTTTTGCAGTTGATTTATGGATTACCACCCAAATTTATATGTATCCAATTTTCATTAATTGTAAAGTATGTTTCTATGAAGTAAACTAAATCTATATTTATAAAGTAATCTTTTCTCATTTCTCCTTGTGCCATCTCATCATCCACATCATTGACACATATATTTTTTATTAATTTCTTTTTAATCTCAAATTTAATACACATACCTATTATATATTTGGTTTTACCATTACGAAAGAAATTTGAAGGGTCATTGTTCATTTCTAAACTAAATGATATAAGATTGGAATTCACCAAAATTATGTTCACAAGATAATCGAGAGTTTACAAGTTAGATGGATCGAGGTTCGCCACATATAGGTACATAATGCCTTCATGATAAGAACATAAGCCAAAGTCTATGTGAATCCACACAAAGACAGAGACCTAGACGTTTACTAAGAAATGGAATCCACCAAAATACATAGAATAACAAAGAGACAAAGCTAAAGAGCTTTAAAAAGTATAAACATGATTTTTGATTGATAAAAAGGTGATTACAAAGATGAAACCGCTTGAGCTTATAAAGGCTCGACACTTGGGACTAGTGCAACGTTTTAATGGCTGAAAAGGAAATAAATGCACAAAATTAAATTGAAAATATCATAGAGTTGGCTCCTTAAAGAAATATAGCCGTTAGACATAATTATGATGATCCAAAAGGAGAAACTCGTGGGCTCTTTGTATCTTGATAGCTTCTGGATAATTCCATGACTTGTGAGTCTTCTATTATCTCCCTTATTATTCAGCAAATCAGAATATAGCCGTCGGGGATGATATTTGAATGCTCTCGGGTCTATTTTTGGTAAGTCTTGGTGTATGGTGTGGTAAGATTGGATCTACCTGATCCAATGGTCATTGCTGCACATGAATATCCTTCCAAGACCTTTCAATGATTTAAAAGCTCCTTTACATGATCCAACTACTGGTCTGATTTAAAAGCTCCTTTAGATGATTTAAAAGCTCCTTTACATTATCATTTACATGATCCAACTATGGTCTGATGACCTCATCATACCCTCTCCCTTGATTGAATTTTGTCCTCAAATTTGAAG